TGCAAGAAAAGAACCAAGCTCAGAGAACCCCAAGGACTCCACAGTCCAACCCTGAGCTACACATATTCACCTCCATTGTAAGTGTACTTTGCTAGCATGAACCTGAAAATATCTTAACTTTTAATTGGATCTGAATCCCCAAAGAATACTGGCACATAACAAACTAACCTACAAGAGTAAAATCAACAAAATAATTTTCTGCAATCAATTAGAAATGTTTGTTTTACAACATTTAAATAACCAGGGTAGTTTTTTTTTTTAAAGTAATGTATTTCAATTTCCCACTGTTCTGCTGAGAAAACTTAATGGCTTCCATTGTTCCAGTTGTATCCTTATGCTTTGCTTAAGGAACTTTATCATTATCTTAAACCTGATAGCTCTGACATGGAAGTTGTTCTTTCTATAAAACATTAAAAGTAAGCTTTTCAAAATTACAAAATATTATATCCAGAAGACTGAGCTGCCCATCATTTTTATTTAAATTAATTGATTTTCTACATTTGTTTCTTTATCCAATCTGCTTGTGCCAGGATAACTTTATTTTCATTGGATATTTGCAGCATATCTAAATTTGATGAACGGTGTTGTTTTCTCTATGTCCATGACAACTCTGATGACTTTCAAATATATTTTTCTACTGAGTATCAATGTACTAGGTAAGAAATTTGTTTTGTTTTGCTTTGTTTTTACTAGTGATCAAAATAACTCATACAAATGTTACAAATTCTGATACAGAACCAGAATAAGAATGAGTGAAACAAATAAGCTTCTTCTGTTGCATTTTTCATTCTACATCAACTTCAATAAATTTGATCAGTGAGAAAAGTGATGAAAAAAATATAAAATATAATATTTTACATTATCGGAGGCATTTCTGCTTTTTAATGCCTTTTTCTAATTATAAGGAAAAATATTCATAACATTTTGAATTTCTCTTTCTTTCCAATTTTCCTGCCTTAATGGAAATATTTTAAGAATGTTGGTGTTAGTGACTGTATCTGAGCGAGGTACTGGTATTTGATTCTGCTTTAGACAATAATTTAATTTGGACTCTCCCCGATTAAAAACAATTAAAACAAGAAACTCAATATTTAACAAGTTTACTTTATATTATGGAGCATTTTGATGTAAAGGCATTTTAAGGTCTATTATGAAAGACACTGTAGAATCACGCTTGTCTCAGTATTATGCTAAGGGAATCTGTAATGCATGTTGGTTTTCTTTGTATTAATTATATATAAAGATAGGCTGATTGAGCAGGCAGACAGATATTTTTTTGCCTTTGATTGTGAGACATACCTTGCTTTCAGATTCTGTGCTTTGGTTAAGGAGATCTTAACTGATGCTGTAGGAAATACCCTGGAACTTGAAGGAGAGATTGATGCTGATACATTGGAAGTAAGTTGCAATTACTGAGATATAAAAACATGTCTGTGATCTTGTTTTGTTTCTATTTTGCATCTTAAGTATATTAATATAAGAAACAATAGACAACCTTTCAAATAAAGAGGATTGTGGAGTCAATTGTACTCACCTATATGGGCTAAGTAGGACTTTGTCTTTATAAATAAAAGATACTGGGTTTATACACACACATATATACATGGATGCATACATACGTATTCATGAACCATCCAAGGTGTACTCTCAACTGCAGTATAACAACACAGTAACCGACAGCAGAAACTGAACAGTACTGGAAGAACATGGGGAACACTGGAGAAAGACACATAACGCAAAGTGGCTGCAGGACCTGAGAGCAGACCACAGCAATCTCCCAGAACAGGAACCAGTCACCATTACAGTAGCAGACATCCAACAGTGGGTCAAGAACATAGCTGGACAGCACCTGGCCTGGTCATGATCCACACCTACTGGCTAAACAAACTAACAGCAGTGCATGAATGCCTAGCAGCACAGTTGAACCAGCTGCTAGCAGCAGGCTCCCACCCAGATTGGTTAACACAAGGAAGGACAGTGCTGATCATGAAAGACCCCCACAAGGGAACAGCACTGTCCAACTACTGGCCAATAACCTGCCTCCCCACAACATGGAAAGTCCTGTGAGGCATCATAGCCACCAAGCTACAGGTCCATACGGTCCAGTACATGAGCACAGTTCAGAAGGGCATTGGGAATAACACTAGAGGCTCAAAACACCAGTCGCTCATAGATAGAGGAGTCACCCAAGACTGAAGGTCTAGACCAGTGTTGTCCAAACTTGGCCACTTTAAGATGAGTGGACTTCAATTCCCAGGATTCTGGGAGTTGAAGTCCACTCATCTTAAAGTGCCCAAGCTTGGACAACACTGGTCTAGACAAACCAATCTGAGCACAGCCTGGATTGACTACATGAAAGCTTATGACTCAATGCCACACACATGGATCTGTGAATGCCTGGTGCTGTACAAAGTCAACAGGACACTTTGTCAAGAACTCAATGGGACTGCAGAAGACAACATCATAAGTCAACTCAACAGCACGCACAAGTGGCCATCAAGTGCGGCATGCACTATCCCTGCTGCTGTTCTGCATGTGCTTGAACCCCTTCAGCCAGATAATCACAAGGACTGGATACGGGTGCTACTATCAGCCATCTCCTCTACATGGATGACATCAAGCTGTATGCTAAAACTGAATGAGACATTGACTCACTGATCCACCTGACATGGATCTACAGTAAGGATATTGGGATGTTATTCAGACTGGAAAAGTGTGGCCAGACGGAAGTAAAGAGAAGCAAAATAGTTAAGACTGATGGGGTGATCCTGTGGGACTTCCAGATCCAGACAGACAGGCAGATACTGGCCAGTTAACCAGACATCATAGTAATAGACAAGAACCAGAAGACAACAGTGGTGATAGATGTACTGGGGCCAAGTGACAGCAACATCAGGAAAAAGGAATATGAGAAGCTGGAAAAGTACAGGACCTGAAGGAAGAACTAGAGAGAATGTGGAAAGTAAAGGCCAAAGTGGTTCCAGTGGTGGTAGGAGCACTCAGGGCTGTGACTTCTAAGCTGGGGGAGTGGCTCCAACAGATCCCAAGAACAACTTTAGAGCGCTCTGTCCAGAAGAGTGCAGTTACACCTAAGATATTGCACAGAACCCTCAAACCCCCAGGTCTTTGGTAGAGGACTCAAGATTGAGGAAGACACATACCACCCATTGGGGTGAGAGGGGATTTTCTCCCTCCCTCCCTGTCCTGCCCTGACCTCCTCCCTCCCTCCCTCCCCTCCCCTCCCCTTATGAAATCTCAATTGTGACCGGTGGTTAGTTCAGTTTGTATTTTCTACCTCAAAAAACAAGAAAAGATAGATATCTTAATCCCACCTGATCTCAGTGCCTTTCTATAACATTATTAGCGTTCAATAACTGTAGTTATTGAATTTCAGCATGCCACTGCAAATGGATCAGTGTGGCACAGAAATGTGTACAATATTTTTGCAATGTAATATATATGTAATGCGATTTGAAAAACTTAAATATTAATGACATCCTTATAAAGCTGTAATGCTTTTTAACAAAACATGATATGTAGCTTGCATCATCCTTAATAACCTACATTTTTCACAAACTCCCTCAGCCTCAGTAGCTTTTTTTCCTGAAAAATTGATCCCATGATTTCAATAATAGTAACCCAGTTAGCAATGATTTAATATCAAAAACTGAGGAAAGATCCTTCCAATTTAATAGTTTAAATGATTGATGTAGTTGATATTTATATAGATTTGAAATAATAGTTACAGGAGACTTTGTAATGCATGGCTCAATGCTTGCATACCCAAATCTCTTCATCCCAAACTGGAAACAACTATAGGGAACCAGTTTGAATCAAAGCCTCAGATCTACACTTCCCAAATTGCCATATGCTTTATTTCCTGCTTGCCTCTATCCTTCACAGAAGAGCTGATGAAGCTGTCCAGTACCTCACTGCTAACAGCAGGATAATATTTCATTCTGCAGGGCTTTAGATGATGTTGTCCCTTAGAAGACATTGAACTGCCCTTAGGAAAGCATTTTGCATAGAACATTTGAATAACTCTCTGATGCAAAGATGGCTAAACAGCAAACTATAAAAGCAAGATTTATTAAGGACAGCAAGAAGAGCTGGAACTTGGTGGAAGAAGGGGATGTTTTCTGTGCCAAGTACAACTACTGATTCCAGATAAAATTATCTTTGGGTGTATCAGGAATGTCTCAGACTTGACAGGAACTTAAAGGTCCTGCCTGCCAGAATACAGAGTTCTGGCTACATGGGCCAAGAGTCAGTTGTGGTGTAAAACAGACCCTTGTGGGCTTACCTTTTACCCCCCCCTTTTTTTACTAATATTTCATAACTTGTTAATTGCTTTATATGTAAAAGCCTAAAGTATAACATAAAGAAGTATACACTTTTGCGCCCTAATTCACAAATTCTGCAATTCTGGGCACCTTCTGTCTACAAAGTCCTTAGCAAAGATTAAAAGATACAGTGCCATGTTCTGAGGATTTAGTTGACATGTCTGTCTGTTTACTGTCCAGCATGCTGATGTCTACGAAAGTGCTCTAATAAAACAGCTGCTGTTGAATTGTAAATAAGGCTTGACTACAGTGTTCATGCCATAGACAAGGTCATATAAAAAATCAATTTATTCTAGTTTTTTGCTAGAAATTGAAATGTTTATAGAGTATCCAGTTATTATGGGAATACTTTTTAAATCCTTTTCTCTGACATACTCTGATTTAGATTAGATTTTATTGCCTAAGAAAATGGAGTAGATGCCTGTGTCCAGGATCTAAAGACGGTGGCATTTCTCCTTGCACACAGTGTTTTTACATGTTTATCTTGAGATATTTTACAGAAACTGAGCCTGCCATCCTAGCATAAGCGTCTGAGACTGTATAATACGGCTCTGTTATAAATGTGCTGAAATAAAATTCAGAGAAACATAACCTTGGCTCAGGCTCAAGAGGTCGCTATACTGTACTGTTTTGTAGCTATGAAATATGGGTGTGATGAAAAACTTTCACAGGTTCTTGTTATATCATTACGTAAGAATGCTGATCATATAACAGCTCAGTAGGAAAAACTATGAAATGCTGAAGCTTGAAAAATGAAACTGTTTGAAAGGTGAAGTAGCTTCGTAGTAATTCATGTGAGAGTATACAAGGACTTTACTCATATGCTCTGTATGGAAACAGAAAGCTTAAGGAAATTGAGGAAAATTTCAAGGGCATACTGCAGAGCTACTATACTGCAGGGAGACTTTTAGAAGTCTTGACTGAAGTACTGTTGATGTAAGAGAGAGAAAGAAGCTGACAATAATAACATGGGAATAGACTCAACCACTATCATTTTTTAAATTGAAATATTTTCAAAATTGTTGACTGCCTTTTTGGTTTATATATGAATTGGATTTTTTGCTCTGTATGTGACTTGAGTACCAATGAGTATTTTGTTGTTTATCCATATTAATACAAGCATTCTTCATTGTGGTCTCTTGGTTCACACAGATGGGTTATCTGTGCAAAGTTCTATATGGACTGTCTAGGTCAGTGTTGTCCAAACTTGGCTACTTTAAGATGAGTGGACCAACTCCCAGAATTCCCCAGCCAGCCATGCTGGCTGGGGAATTATGGGAATTGAAACCCACTCATCTTAAAGTGGGCAAGTTTGGATAACACTGGTCTAGGTAATACACAAATGTTTGGTAGAAGCCCTACAATATGTGTGCTACTCTGCTATGTGTGGCTCCCCATGAACCCCATCAATTTATTTTTGCCCTTGAGATCTTTGTTCTTACCAATATACTTACAGTTATTTTATTTATTTGTTGGGATCTCTGTCCTCTTGTCACAGGCATCTGAACTTCAGCCCTATGGTCCTTAGAATCCCATTTTCCAAGGATCAAGTGGCAAATTTTGCAAGTGCCAGAAGTTTCAGATGGGAGAAACTGACCTTTGCTTTGGTGAAGGTGATTCAGTAGACCCTTGTAAGCACTGGGAGGTATTTATGAAGTAGACTCATTACAATTATTCCTCCCACTTGTAGGCTATCCTTTGAGAGTAAGCTCTAAGTACAACAGACTACAAAGTATTTTCTTTGTAGATTTAGATTTAAATCTCATCTCTTCTCCAGTTGTGTCCCAGAAATTGCTCCCTCATGCCTTCAAATGTCTGACCAAAACCTCCTCCACAGACAGAAGAATCTGAGGTCTCCAATGAATGGTTATCAGTTCCAAGGGCATCACTCTCATGAAGAGCTCAAAGCATTTTTAAGAGGACAGTGCTGCCCAATTCCAACCAGGGCAAAACGAACTCTGTCCTTGCCTTGTACTTGGAAGGAGAGATTGGGCAGCAATATTTCCTTAGATTATCCTCTCTTCCACAGGGATGCTGAGAAAAAAGTCCTTTTTCTCTCTAGAGAGTACAGAGACCTAAGCCTCAAGATGGGTGCTTCTCTGATTTTATTTGCCTTCATGCCATTTTACTCCTCTAGAATAGATTATTGGCATATCAAAACCAGCCGTTCACAGTTCCAGTCAATAGATCAGCTTGCCCTGGAACAACTCAAGATGTAATGAAGCAGATAATTTCACATACAGTATTGGTCTTCCATTCCATATTTAATCAGATTCCACCCCTTAACTGTGTCAGAGTATGACAAGCAGATGTTGTAAGCATCATCTTCTTGTTCTTAAGTCTTGTTTTCCACATTTCTTTGAGACTTCCAGATCTCTCACTCCCCAGAATGGCCTCTTACTCAGAGATCATAATCTTCCTGTAGACAGTTGTACCTGCCTCTGCTGAGGATGACTGCCTCAGATTTTACCTACTGACATTTTGCTGTGGATCCCTTGTTCATCTGCTGAGACAGTTCCTGCTGTCCTTTGTGACTCAGATATTATACATTTGATGCTTCCCCTCTCTTTTCAACATGGGGCAGTAGGCAATGCCTGATCTTTGGCAGCAGGTAATGATGAATTTCCAGTATCTTGGTATTGCTTTCTTTTTTACGTAGAATGAATTCCTGTTTTACATGTTTCTGCCAGTCCCCCAAATTCTGACAAAACTCAACAGGAATTCAGCCAGCTGCATTCTAATTGCACCTTGATGATCTCAGCAACTGTGATTCATCCTTTTACTCTGCTTCAACTGTTGGGAGTGCCTCTGCCTTCCAAACCACCTCAACCTACCATCCATGCATCCATCAGGATGGTCTTTTAGGGACAGGTCTTTCACCCAGACAGTAATGCTCACTGCCTGACAGCTTGGAAGATTCCATATCTCTGGGACAAAGTAGGGCAAGTTATGTTGGCATCCTACACTGCCAAGTGAAAATCTTTTCTGGGAGATTATTTTGCTGGGAGACTATCAGGTACCTCATATTTTGGTTGTTCTCTTCCATTTAAAACAGCTAGTTTTGTAAGGCTCACTGGCAAGAAGCAGAGATTTTCCAGACTAGAGTCTCAGATCATACTTGGCTTAAAACTCTCCAACATACAACATGGCATAGCTAAATAAGAATCTTTATGTACTAAGAAAAATTACTAAAGTAGTTGACTGTTCTGTGTCAACATAAAAATGGAGCACCTTCTCTCACCTACTATAGTTTACACTTCTTTCTCCCACTCTTCCCTGTGCTATTTTCCCCTATTTCTTGCCAATGAAGTTGAATGATAGTTGGCAGTTGATTTAAGTAGCATCTCTGCCATGAGAAACACTGGCTGTTAGCTCCCAGAAGTTTGGCTCTTTCTTCCACAGAAGTAACCCTACTGCCATCTTCTTCTTTTTCTGTTAGGAGATGCTTCTCTTTTTGCAATCTGCTGATTAAGAATTTTATGAAAAACCCAGCATATCTCTGTCTTCTAGCTTGCCTTCCATTTCTGACATGGAGCATCTTTCTTCTTCTCTCTGTGTTAATGTCAAAGATCTTCAAGCCCATAAGTACTACACCACTTATTTAATAGAAGGAAGCCTTTTTGGTAGCCTTGACCGCAGGTTGGAGAACTGTGCTTTGCAAAGAGACTTCCCTTGTTTTTCTTAGGAATGATGTGGTCCTTTACCCCTACATTTTTTTCTTCTTTCAAAACTTACTGTCCAATTTTTATTTGAAACAGTGTAAAAGTGCCTCTGTCTTTTTTCCCTAGCCCCTCAAGTGTTTTTAACTGTTTTTATAGTTTGCAGTTGTAAGCTGCCCAAAGTCTATGGGAGTGGGCAGCTATAATAACTTTAAAATAACTACTACTGCTACATTACAAATTTTCCTTTGTCTTTTGGATGTCTGTGTGCTTTGGTTTTTACTTGGGCCATATGACACCATTCTTCTAAGACCAATGTTTAGTCTTGGCTTTCAAGGGCCTATCTTAAGTCTGTGGGCTTTTCCCAAGCATTTCTCCACCTGAAAGGTTGCAACCATCATGCTTTGTTATGAACTGGCCAAAGAGTTGTGCCTTTCCAAAACTATGTGCACTTCATGAGAGCAATAGCAGAGTTGGCAGTCTTTTTCCAGGGGATTGTGCCAGGTAGCTACACAGGCTGAGTCATCTACCATCACGGACTGGACCTTTGTTCTCACAGTGATACTTTTTTTTTTTTTTGAAAGATTATTCTCCTTTTGTTCATCTAATGAGAACCAGACTCTACCCTAGGTAAGCTTGCTAATCACCATGTGTCTAAATCACAGAAACTATGATAAAGGGCTGAATATTTGCCTGCAGCTGTAGTTCTTGGAATGTTCATCTGTGAATTCATACTTCTTTCACTTCTCTTCTGCTTGGTCTCCAGCTTTGGCTTTGGATCCTTTGTGTTGGTCTTGGCAACCACAATGTTTCAGAGGGAGTTGCACCTATTAATTTGGTATGCATGGGATGAGATTCTCACCAAACATTTCTGTAAAGTCTTGAAAGTTCTGCATAACCCATATGTGTGAATTCACAGATGACTGCTTGGAAACTGCAGTTACTTATAAGTTACTAGTTTTTATCATAATTCAAAACTTCTACATGGTTTAAGATATGCCATCTTCACATTTCTTGTTTGGTTTAATTGTGGAACTACAGTACTGCAAATGAATAATTTGTAAAGTTATGCCCACATAGGCATCTGTTTTGATGTGCATTTTGCCACTGCAGCTGTTCTGTTTTGGAATGTGTTGTTATTATGTGCCAGATTTTTTAAACTCAAAATTAGATTTTTTTTTACAGTGACAGATCTTTCTATAGCCTATGAGCCAAAAGAGGTGATGTAAATAAAATAAGCAAATACATATATAATTTATTTACCGTTCTTCCAGTTCTGTATTTTTCACTTTTCACTGTCTACTTATGTCAAAATATTTTTACATACCACAGTTCATCAATCTCGTTGATCAGCTACCTCTCTGTTGATTAGCACCACTAGCTTTTTTTTAATTGCACAAAGATAGGTTTTTGCAGTTTTAGTAGCCATCAAAGAAAACTGCAAACCTAACAAAAATGCTTGATTTTTAATTTCAAGAATGCTTGCTAAATTTCAAGTCAATAAATTACTAATCACTTGTATTAAAATCAGTTTGATGCTTTGACAATGTTCTTTTGTTGTTTCTGAAGATTAATTTTGAGTGTTATTTTCTTTTTTGCCTTCAGTATGAGTATGACTATGATGAGAATGGAGATAGAGTTGTATTAGGGAAAGGAACCTATGGGATAGTTTATGCTGGAAGAGATCTTAGCAATCAAGTTCGAATAGCCATCAAAGAAATACCAGAAAAAGATAGCAGGTGAATCTTTATATTTTTCCTAATAGTTCTGGGAAGCACAATGTTTTAATATTGAGGACAAATTTTAAAATGTATCCACATGTTTGGAGAGTATGTGTTTACTCTCTCTCTCTTGATTATGATATACTGAGAAGGATAGTATGAATTAATTTCAAGTCATTCCTTTTTAGTAAGAAAATTACAGTTAACAAGTGTGCAGATGAAAGAAAAGGCATATTGCTAAATGTTTTGAGACAATGGAAAGCGAAAAGGAAGATCTGCTAGACCAATGTAGTCTCATCAATTGGCATGCTCTTGCCAATAGAGCCATAAAATAGAATAAAGCACAAATTCACATTGTTTCAGTGGTTAAGTTGAAATGAAATTGCATGACCCAAGATGGGTTAGGAGGTATTGCAACTGGACATGCAGAAAATAAAATCTGTTAGCTGATTTATAATTCATGAAAGTATTCAACGTGTTTTTCTTAACTTGTTGCTATTAGTTTAAATAGTTTTCCTCATGTCTCTCTTCCTGGATAAAGGAACAAAAGAAATTAGTCTGTTGAAATGAATACACTGTCCTTTTTCAATTTACTGAGAGCATATTTATCTTGTAAAAATCCTGTTTGCTGAAGTATTATGAACCATTGCAGAAGCTTCGCTGCTCATTCTTTTACTTTATTCTAGTATTTTAAAAATAGCAATTTACGCATGTAACAACGTGATTTACTTAGGCTAGAAGGTTTTCTTATAATTTCTTAGGACTTTGCTTTTTCTTTCTATATTTTCATGGTAGATATTCTCAGCCACTGCATGAAGAAATTGCTCTTCACAAATATCTAAAACACCGAAATATTGTTCAGTATCTTGGTTCTGTTTCTGAAGATGGATATATTAAAATCTTCATGGAACAAGTGCCTGGCGGTTCGTATTGTTTTCTTTTAATCATAAAAGAAATTTAAATTAAATTTAAATTAAATTTAATTCTTTTCTTAATTTTAATTCTACATATAAGTAGAAATCAGAATAGAACCTAGCATTCAGGCTCAAATGATTTGTATTTTAAACATCTGCAAATGTATTATATTACCTTTAGCTATATTGCAATTGACTCAGTCTGAATAAGAAAATACATCCAACATCTCATGCTGAATCTGTGATGTCCTTCCATATTCCAGTGTAATTAATCTTACATAAAAAGAATCAGGTTGCTAGAATTATTGGACTCACGCACAAAATGTTCATTTCTGATTAGCCTCGTATTGAATTTCTGCAGGTGATTGTCTAAGAGTAATACTGTACTTATTTTATGAAAACATTATTTATAAAATACATAAAAATAAAACTACATCACATTTATAATCTGGTTGACTTTACAATTTATATATTTTTCTTCTTCAGGAAGTCTTTCTGCACTCCTTAGATCAAAATGGGGACCAATGAAAGAACCCACCATTAAGTTTTATACCAAGCAGATACTAGAAGGCTTGAAATATCTCCATGAGAATCAGATTGTACATAGAGACATAAAAGTGAGCACATGTTCTGTATCATTGCAGTTTTTAAGAAATATGTATTTGAGAAGTGTTATCATTCCATAATGCAAATTGCTCTCTTAGGAATCTTAATAAATTTCTTCTATGAGTATCTAATAAGACCTGGAACACTTCTCTTCATCATTTCCCTATGGATCCTTTTTGAATAGTAGATAGAGATAGGAAAGGAAGCACCCATTCTTCCATGATCTGGAATATGTTATTTAACCTAATGTGATATTAGAGACAGAATTCAGAGGAATCTTTTACTGTAGTTCCTGATGATTTGAATATGTTATGCTTATTTTCTATTCATCTTTAGGGAGACAATGTTTTAGTTAATACGTACAGTGGAGTAGTAAAGATTTCTGATTTTGGAACTTCTAAACGCCTTGCAGGAGTCAATCCATGTACAGAAACATTTACAGGTAAGAACAGAAATGGAACATCTTCCTAACTGCTTTTTCAACTAGAATGTATCTATTTTTCATTTTCTCAGTAAGGTCCTGTTTGGTCAAGCATGGAATTCAGTGCCAACAGTAGTCAATGTATATAGAAATAAATAAGGAAAATAGAGAAAAATATCCTTCAGGTAACTGTTCATCATTCCAGTAATATTCTTACCATTCCAGGAGAGTGTTCTGTACAAAATGCTAACTACACAAAAAAGAATACAGTGTTGGTAATGGGCAATAATAATAGCCAAAATACATACAGAAACATTAGTGGTATGCAGACTAAATAAAGCATTGTTTAACCAAATAATATATCTGCAAGAAGATGTCTCTTAGAAAATGGAATAAGATTGTGTCTGTTGAAACACTGGTTTTTCAGCAAATAATATTTTTAAGAAGGGCATTTCTACAATCCAAGGAACTAGAAATGAGTCCCATAATAAGAAAGAGAGGTGGATAGAACTCATCTGTTTACAGGCTCATTTGATGGGACCACTCCTCATTTTATCATCCCAATCCCAAATATTTATTTATTTTGTTTATTTATTTAGCAAATTTATATAGCCGCCCTTCTCACCAAAGTGACTCTGGGTGGCGAACAACAATCAGATAAAAAAACAAATATAAAAACAGAAAAATATTTAAAAACCACATTAATAAATACCATAAAAATACAAACCATAGTGGAAGGAATAATAAAAATGTCCCCCTCAGCAATGGAGCCATCAAAGCAGGTCTCTGATTCCCTGGGAGCGCCATGCCTGATCACGTAACCAGGTCTTGAGGGCCTTTCGGAATAGCAAAAGGGAGTTTGGGCTGAAGAGAGTTTGGACTAAAACCATATATCTGGCCCAAAGTCACCAGTGAACTCCATTTGGACGAGGGACTTCTTGTCCCAAATTCACGTTGTAATCATTATGTTACCTTAGATTTTCATATCACACCCTAGTTCTTTATTTATTTTATGCATTTTTGCTATTTGATACACAAACACTCTTCTTAATTGTGTCTTGCTCAAACAGGACTTTTAATTTCTTTTTTTAAAGGAAAATTGCTGATACAAATACACATTGGAACTTTGGGTTGGATGTGATTCTCTGTAAGAAGATTATGAGAGCCAGAGTCAACAGTGATGTTTGCAAAGCTAGCTTAAGAAACATAGGAATTTATCTATTAAATAGCAGAAGATACAGTAGTGACTCATTATAAAACCTTTACTGGTTTATAAAGAATGTACGAAGTACATTTGACTTCATTGCCTAATTAAAAAAAGTTACAACTATCCAAAATATGTTGTTACCTTTATTTAACATTTGTATCAAGGTTCATACTGACTGTCCCAGGCTTGGCCAATCTGGTATTTTTCAGATTATTAGGGTTGGAGTATTTAATAGCACATTTTTTCTCAGTGAATGTTGCAATAAAATATCATTGTACAAAGTTAAGAAATTAAGCTTTTGCATTTGCAGAAGCCTAGAATGTGCACGAAGCATAAATTTTTCAATATTGTTGAAAGGAACTTTTTTCTTTTGCATACATAGAGGCAAACATCTGAACAAAGAGTCTAGCAGTCAAGAGTTGCCAGCATTGACATTTGTCTACCTGTTAAATCCACCTGTAATATAAATGCAGTTTAAATGTTGAAAGTAGAGTATAATCAGTTCATATAATGTATCTTTTATGCTCCCTAATTTTAGGTACTTTGCAGTACATGGCTCCAGAGATCATTGATAAGGGTCCTCGAGGCCATGGAGCACCAGCTGATATTTGGTCCCTGGGATGTACTATCATTGAAATGTCAACAGGAAAGCCTCCATTTCATGAACTTGGGGAGCCACAAGCAGCGATGTTCAAAGTAAGAGCTGAATTGAGACTTAGAACAAAAATTGCCTAGGCATGTTCACATTTCCTATTAAGTTAGGTGATATAAAGCAGTTTTGCAACTGCTGAAGCTTCTAAGTTGTCATCATGAACAGCCCATGTAGATGTAGAATGAAATATAGTTATCAAGATTCTTTGTTACAAGGACATAAATTAGTGTTACAGCAGCTTCCCTGTAATGAGGGAGCCTATGCAAGAAGTAGCACTGAAAGAAAGTACTGCTAGCTTATGCAATATGCCTATCAAAAAGCAGGATTGAAAATTTGAGTCCATGTCCAATTTGATAGAGACGTAAACTTGGCAAATGTGCTTTCTGAGTGATCTGAGCAGATACTATAAACACTCACTTTGGCTTAACTAGGTTAAGATTTTCGGTCTTCTAGCTCTCATTTATCTAGCAGCTCAGAAATTGACTTGAATATTTTTAAAACATTGATAGCACCTTATTCATAACTAGGAATTACCTCTGCCAGCTATTTCAGATAGATACTTAAAGAAGATGTTAATAACTACTGTAGCCAAGCTGCTATCTAGTATTGAGAAAATGTCTTTATTGCTGGTCTAGCAGTGATCATAGTGTGGCCTTTTCTTTTTCCATGGGGATGAGTACAACTCACCTGGTGAAGATCGGAGCTTAAATGAGCATAACACATTAACTTACAATGTAGTTTGTTCATTCTGACTTAATGTGATAGGTGAACCCAATTATTGTGGTAGCAAACCGTAGTTTATGTCTTATATTATGAGGTCCTATTGGTTTATTCAAGAAACCTTGAGAGTCCACCATATTCTTCTGTGATATTTGCTTTATATTCATGCTATGTTGTTCAGTCCCCTCTTGCACTGTGACATCCCACGCATGTATGTAAGCTGTTACTGTATCATGACATCACAACATACTTTGAGTCATTGATGCCTCTCTATTACTGGCACTACATAGAGGTAGGGTACAAAACTAGCTCCTAGATAATTTCATTCTGTCAGGCAGGGGGTTAGAAAATAAGTGTGCTAGCAAAACAAAGAAAGGATGGAATCACCCTTTCATAAACAACTTCAGACAAACAGCAGACAGAGAAAAAAACAAGGAATATGTTCCTGTCTGTCTCTCTCCACTGCCCCCTAGTCTCAGAATTTGGGAATTTCCAGCAGTATAGCAACTTCTAGACATTTTTCAAGAGAAGATCCATGTAGGGTGTTTTGTAGTTTTCAAGACAGGTGCAGATTATTGTTGACAAATCTTCCCAGCTCAGGAAGGATCACGGTTGGTGTTGTAGGCATCCTTGTGCTAAACATTCCTTGCCACAGCCACCTGCAAAGCAAGTGACAGTTGAAGATTAAGGAGACTTGCAGGCTGCACCGAATGTTTTCAAGAGTAGTGCAACCCATCCAAAACATGCTGAATCCTAGTCTTGGGTAATTTTTTTATTTACCAACAGGACTTCTGAGTTTCTGGATTTAGCTTCAGCTTGTTTTCCATTATTCAGTTTTGGCTAACACATTTAAAGCTAAATTGCTATTGTAAATATACAGTAGAGCTACAGCAGATCAAGAGAAGTTAAATCTTGATTACCGTAACAGGCTGTTTGCACTTACCCATTTAGCTGCTGATGTGCCCCCTGGCCAGGTTCAGTTCTGTTCTCTTCAATTAGGTTTCAAGATATTTGTGTACAATTTGTACAGAAGACTTGAAAACAGTAATCAGGGTGGGCAGATCTGGTCAAATAAGGTCAAGATCTTTAAAAGTCTCTGTGAGATGTTTCATTGCAATTAAAAAGTTATAGTCATCTTGTCTCAGAGTGCTTTAAAATTCTTAACAGTTTCGTATTTGATTGTGACCAATTATAGTTTTTTAATGTTCTAAATACTCTAATTGGTCACTATAAAATACAGTATTGCATTGCATAAAAGTTAAAGTTAGAATACAATATAGAACTTTAAAAAGTTAGAAGCAAATATTGCATCTGGAGCAAAAATAGTGTCATTTTCAAGTGTGGGGGTGATGAACCTGATGTCTTTGCTGGAACCTTCTCCCTAGCCATGAACGTATGACCTAGATTTACTCAGAGCTTGGCTGTTCTTCAAATGTAACACCCAATATGAATATGCTTTGTGAAGCCTCAGGCTTGGACACCCAGCTTTTAGTGCTGGGACTGAACCAGTACAAACTCTGAAATAGGTATTCAATAAACCAGCTTCAAAAATGTTAGTTTAATCATATTATTTGCGATTAATCATAGTTTGTATTACAGTTAGCATAAGCTTCAATTAATTGAAAAGATTCTCCTTCTCACTTTCTTCTTTTTTTTGTAGGACCAAAGAGGGAGAAGGTGGCAGGGTAGTGGTGAGGTAGATTGGAGATCTTGAGAGTTATTCACCAAATTATAAGGATAATTTATTGTTATATCTAATTAAGTCCATTAATGACTATGATTAATTGTAAATGGCAATGAAAGTGATTAGAGTGTCACCGCTACTTCTAAGAGAAAGTAATTGATATGGCCTTTAATTATGTGGTAACATACTACTTTATTGCACACAATAAAACAATCCAACTTTAGATTAATTTTTCATAGTCAAGTAACATAGACCATCTTTATTACTTACAGGTTGGGATGTTCAAAATTCACCCTGAAATCCCTGAATCACTTTCTGTTGAAGCTAGATCTTTCATCTTGCTCTGCTTTGAACCTGATCCAAATAAGCGTGTTACAGCATCTGATTTACTTAAAGATCCATTCTTAAAACAAGTGAACAAAGGCAAGAAAAACAGAATTGCATTTAAGCCTTCAGGTAAAAAAAAAAAAAAAGCCAGTATGTCTACAGCACAGCTAAGAATTATTTAAGAATAATTAGATAAAACTTCTTTATTGATTTCCAGATGTGGAAAGAATTGTAATTCAGAGATGGAAAATATGTTTTCTTTGCAAATGATCTGTATTCAGTCCCTGGTATCTCCAAAGAAGGCTGGGAAAAAACCCTGTCTGACCTCTGGAGGGCCATTGCCAATTAATATCTGGGCTGGATAGATCACTATAAAATAGCTTCCTCTGCTTATATTGTGCAATTAATGATATGGTATTAAATCCCCACCACCACCAAAAAATGATCTGTATGAAACAAGAGTCCTGTGATTTATTAAATAAAGAAGAAAATTATGAGCAAACTTTCCATGATGAATAGCATTTCCTGGATAAATCTTAGAGCAGTTGTTTCCTTAAACATGTGGCTCTATATTCCAAAGTGAAACAAGTTGTGACGGTTATATTCCAAAATTGGGTGTGGACATAATTCTAAAACAATTTCTGAGCAGGCACTGATTTGACTTAACCAAGGAAGAAACCTTACACAAATCTCAGAATTGCAACAGTGTAAAAACAAAGTTACCACAACAAAGGCATTGTGATGCTCTTATCACTAGCAGCTTCCTTTATCAAGAATATTTTATGTGTCTAGGAGTCAGGCATTATTTCTGGTTAGATCACTTTCTAAGTTAACTGTCCTAGCATGGCATCCTCTGCTGATGTAGAGAAGTTTCACATTAATCGGTTTGGGTTTTACTTTTCTGCTTTGCTTTTCCAGTGACCTGTCTGATTATATTTAATAGCTATTTTAATTAAAATTTATTATAACCCAGTTGTTCCATTGCTTAAGAAATGAATAATGGTTTTATTTATTCCTTTCCTCCTTTCCAGATTATAATCGTAGCACATCTCTGCCTCTGCCAGTCCAAGGAGAGCAGGCTGGCAGTAGCAGTAGTGAGCATGGCTCTGTCTCACCAGACTCCGATGTGCAGTCTGATATGTTCTTTGAAAAGGCAAAACGTTCTCTTTCTGAAGTTCAATCAAACAGTCCCATTTCCCATTTGTTAAGGTAGATTTTTTTTTTAAATCCATTCAATTGTGTTAAATTCTCAGAGACTTCCTAGACAAATCCCTGCAGTTTACTTGGCAAGGTTTTTCAGAAGTGGTTTGCCATTACCTCCTTCCTAGGGCTGAGAGAGAGTGACTGGCCCAAGG